TGACGTACAGGACAACCAGGGTTAGGTCTTCGTCACAAGGCTCTTTTTGTAGCAGGAACTCCTTTGCATATTAGGCAACACACCTCTAATGTAGCCAATCCTCTGAGAGCTTACAGAGCTTTTCTTACAGGGGCTACTGTAAGCTCTTGGAAGATTGGCTACATTAGGGGTGTGTCACCTAATATGCAAAGGAGTTCCTGCTACAAAAAGAGCCCTGGGAGAAGGTGGGCAAATTGGATCAGGAAAATGGTGGTTAAGGACATGGGATTTATCTTTTTCCCTCTGTGCCTTGTCCCTGACAGAAATTGCTTTACTATTGCCCTGATCTGGCTGCCTCAAGGAAGCCCAATTTTGCCAGATCTTAGAAGCTCCGCAGGGCCAGTCCCAGTTAGTAATTGGATGGGAGACCACCAAAGGAGCCTAGGGTTGCTATATAATAATAATAATAAAATAATACCTTTCGATTTATTGATCGCTCAATCCTGCAGAGCTGCAGGCTCTGAGTGATTTACAGTTACACAGGTTTTCACACGGGACTAACAATGATTGATAGGGGTAGGGAGGACAGCATATAATTCTTTAAATTGCACATGTTTGCAGCCGACGGGGATTTTGTTCAGCTGTAGGCTTCAGACGTGTTCCGAACGGCATTCATTTTGGCTTGGCTTGATGATGTTAGTTCTTCCTGGGCTGCTTTTTGAGTCGTAGTGCCGCACTGCCACCGCCTGGCCGGATTGGCCCATCACAGGCTTCTTAATGCCGAAGAGGTCTTTTTCCAGGCTTCCGAGCTTCCGAGCTGGACATTCCATTCGCCAGCTAACACCTCCCCTATGGGGGTTTAGTGTGCCCACCCTCTCTAAGGAGTAGTACCCATTTTATCTACTCGCCAAAGCTTTCGAACCGCTGGGTGGACGGTGAGCTGGGGACAAGCCTGGTAGCTCACAGCAGCGCGGGCTTGAACTGACAGCAACTCTGTTCAGTTCAGATGTTAACTAGAGGATAAATCCTGTGTGCCAGCGCTCCCCTATAGAGGCAGGTAATGCCAAACCACCTCTGGTTTTTTTTTTTAAATCTTATTCAATTAGTTGTAGATTTTCCAGGCAGTAGGGCCATGGTCTTGGCATTGTAGTACCTGACGTTTTGCCAGCAGCGGTGACTGGCATCCTCAGAGGTATAACACAGAAAGTTGGAGTACATTGACCCAGAGAGTACTCCATCTTTCTGTGTTATACCTCTGAGGATGCCAGTAACAGCTTCTGGCGAAATGTTAGGTCCTACAATGCCAAGACCACGGCCATACAGCCTGGAAAATCTATGACAACTAATCAACTTCAGCCGTGAAAGCCTTCGACTCAAAAATTTACAAAATTCATATACCAAATGTAAAATAACAAATATAGCACATAAAAGAAATGCCAAACGCTCAATATAACAAGATTTCCATCTCTCCCAAGGCCATCACAACTTGTTCTTTACAGGAACGGAAATATGTCAGGCAAGTCAGTTTAAGAACATCGCTTTAGTCCAATCCATCTCTTCCAGGGTGATCACAACTTATTCTTTGCAGGAAGGGAAATGACTCAGGCAAGTCAGTTCGATGACATCAATTTAGTCCAAGCTGATAACCATCTTGTCTGACCATGTCAAGACACGAAGCTTAAAAAGGGAAACCACACAGCCTCAAAATTAATAGAAGAAGAACAAAGTTCTGAGAGACTCCCGACTCAGGCCAATCACCACCTCTCCAATTTGGAAGCTAGAGCGGAGAAAAACCTGTTGTAGTACCACCTTCCAAAGTATCAAGTTTCTTCCTCTGGGTGATTAGAAAAGCCACAGATTGTCTCTCGCCTTGAAAACCCTATGGGTGTGGTGGTGGTCACCATTTATTTATTTAATTCGATTTTTATCCCGCCCCCCTGCCAAGGCAGGCTCAGGACAGCTTACACTTAAAAGTTAAAAACATTAAAACACAATACAACATCATAAACTCATAAGCATAAGCAACTCGCAGTACAGAGAAAATGCTAATAAAATGCTGGTGGTCATGACAACCCTCTCTAGACCATGATAGAATAATTAAAAAAGTATGGGCCACAGTTAGTGTTCAATAAATCGCAGGCTGTTGGTGTTAATATAAAAGGCCTTAGTTGTTATTGGCAGCGGCTCCTAATCGAAGGCCTGGTGGAAGAGCTCCATTTTACAGGCCCTGCGGAACTGTAAGAGGTCCCGCAGGGCCCAAAAGTCGTCTGTGGCTTGACGGCACTTTCCACCACCAAAGTTACCATTACAAAGCCACTCCAATGGGGAAAACAGGTGCATCATCTAATAAACTATGTCTCCTGTGGAGATTTGGCTCTCAAAAGGGCCTGTTCCCCTGTGAGGGAAGAAAGCTACTAGGCCGACTGGATTTCTGTCCAGCCTGGCTCCCCTTTCTCGGGAATCTCCTAAATCAATCTCTTTGAATTGTCACTGCTCTATCAAAGCCACAGACTCTATCAAAGGAAATCCCTAGCCCGATCACAGGCTTCTTTCTTCCACTGCTTGAGGGACTTCGCTCGAGAACTTTCCTGTTGTCTTCACTGCGGTGATGCCAAGGGTCTAGCGCCATCACCTTGCATACTAAAACGCTGAGGGGAATAACAGTTGTCCCTTTGGGTCTCCCCCATGTAATAAGTGTGATCCATTGAGGCAAATGGTGGAACACAGAGTCCAAACTACAGTATTCAAAATGGAAGGATGTTTCTTAAAATGAAAGTGGAGATATCTTACGCTATGACAGCAAATTGTGCAAAGATCCAAAGGATGGAGAGAAAACCACATATCCTCTTTCCTGAACCTCTTGACATACCCCAAAGGGTGTTAATTTAAGGCAGGCTATTTATTCTTGGAGTCACAGTAGTCAGAAGCAGCCCCGTAGCTAGAGATTTTGGGGGGTCAGTTTGGGCCAGACCGGGAGGGAGGGGGCCTGGAAGAAACACTAGGGGGCCGTGCCCCATGGCCACCGCCTTAGCTACGGGCCTGATTAGAAGTATTTCATGACCTCAGTTCTCACAGTAGGACCACCCCGATGCAAGGTCCAGATTAGGGCTGCCAAGTGGGGGCGGGGAAACCCCCGCTTTGGAGGCCCGATTTCTGCCGCCGTGGAATCGGGCCCCGGGGGGAACTCCGCCCCCCGAAGTGCGTCACCAGAGGTGACGCAGCCACATTGCTCACGTTGGGGGCGTGGCCCAGATCATCGAAGGGAAAACTCTATGGTTTTCCCTCCGAGATCTTGGCCACGCCCCCAACGTGAGCAACGTAGCACGTCACTTCCTGTGACGTGCTGGCGGCGCGTGCGTGCGCACGTCATGGGAGAGCTCCCGGAGCCCAGCGAGGCTCCCCCGCTGGCAAGGGTAAGTACACTTGGCAACCCTAGTCCAGATGGAGACCCTAGGTAGAGGTGTAACTCTATAGCTGAGGTGTGAGCTGGCATCTCTTTGTTCTCCCCAGGGACATCTGCATATCCGTGGCCCTGAATTTGCACTGTCCCTGTGAGATGACTGATTCCCCGGTAGTTTTCCCACAATGAGCATGTAAAGAGTGAAGACCTGATTACTGCAACTGTGAATCCTGGGGTGTAGTACATTTTTTCACCTGATCCATATTCATACATTATGTTTTTGAAAGTGTACTTAAAAAACAACAACAACCCCTGTAGGTCTACACCTATAAAATCAAACATGAAGATGCCTAAACAGAAGGAAATATGTCTGTGGTTTCTTTGTGAGACAAGATTATCTTTCCTATAGCATTTTTGACCAGCATAGTTTCCCCCTCCCCCTTTAATTGTTTTCTAGCCAACAATCTTGCTACAGGTCTACCATTTTTATTTCCTTTCCCACAGATATTCCCCACAGTGTTATTCAGATCTTTCACTACTAGATGTGTGTCGTAAAACATTTATTTATCACGGGCCGTCAGCCATTTTCTCTTATCATCTTTCCCTGAGTTTTTGTGATACATTAGCAGACGGCTAGTTTCTGTAATAATTTAGACTCTCATATTTCCTCTGTTTTTCTTTAAATGGCTGTATAGTGAGATCACTTGTCCTCTGAAGTACACCAGGGAGCCTTCCCAAACTGTGGGGAAGTTTCTATCTGGGGTATCACTAATTTCAAAAAAAAGTTTTTATCTCTCTCTTTTTTTTTACCTTCCCCAAAACTTTTGGATTTCCCCCCCAAAATGGATTAAATCTCTAAACAGGACTGCTTTCCACATTCCTAAATTTAATCTATATTATAACCAAAGAATAATTTGCATATATAGCAGGACCAATACATGTTTTATTGTGGTAGTGTAGTGTAGTGGTTAAGTGCGTGGACTCTAATCTGGGAGAACCGGGTTTGATTCCCCACTCCTCCACTTGAAGCTGCTGGATGACCTTGGGCAAGCCATAGTTCCGACAAGAGCTGTCCTTGAAAGGGCAGATCTGGAAAGAGCTCTCTCAGCCCTACCTACGTCACAGGGTGTCTGTTATGGGGAGGAGAAGGGAAAGGAGTTTGTAAGCCACTCTGAGACTCTGAGTGAAGGGCGGGGTATAAATCCAATCTCCTCCTCTTCCTCCTCCTCCTTTTTCTAGGGAAATTGAACTTAATATGAAATCTATTCTTGAATATGTATCATGGAGAAAAGAGTAAAAAGAATAGACCCTTTCTAAGGGACAACTCAGGCTAAACATATTCAACAACTGCTTCTGTACTACGCAGTCTTGTAACAAAGAAGGTGCACACTGATGTAAAGACTTTTCCTTGGATATATCCAATGCTCTGGCAAACAAATGCTGTCAGTTTAGTATCTAATCTTAATTTCACTGCATTCATAAATTTTGTCAATGGACTGGCGCTAATGTCCACAAGGGAACAAATGTTTGGGTCAATTTAGTATCTAATCTTAGTTTCCTTGCATTCATCGCTTTTGACAATGGACCCTTAGAAGTCACTGTATTTCTACTTTTTACAGATATGCCCTGCGGTGAGACTATATTTCAGTCAAATCAGGTCACGTTGTGGCCAGACGTCATCGACTTCTGGATGAATGGAAGGGCGTATTTCAAGTATGGCACCGGGGCCACAGACCCCAGAAAAAACATCTTTGCCTACACTCAGGTATGAACCCAGCAAAGGTCATCCAGCCGAATGATCCCCCCCCCCAAAAAACAGACCGAAATGGGTTTAGATAATCCACTTCATCCAATGCCTCAAATTACAAAGCCATCATTTGCTTGGGCATGAATAAGGAGATATTTGCCGCAGGCTAAGTCAGACCTCGCCACATTGATCCATGCAACAGTCACCTCCAGACTGGACTACTGTAATGCGCTTTACGTAGGGCCACCCTTGGAAACTGCAGGTGGTCCAGAATGCAGCTGCTAGGTTGCTGACTGGAACATCATGGTCAGCTCATATCACTCCAATTCTGCAAAAGCTGCACTGGCTACCAGTTAGTCTCCAGGTCCGATCCAAGGTGTTGGAGTTGACCTTTAAAGCCCTTAATAGTCTGGGACCCTCATACCTATGGGACTACCACTCCTGTTATAGCCCCCCATGCTCCATTCAGTCATTGTCTACGGGCCTCTTGCAGGTGCCTGGCCCTAGGATGGCTTGTTTAGCTGTCACCGGAAGAAGGGCCTTCTAAGTTGTGGCCCCTACCCTGTGGAATGCACTTTTGGATGACACTTGGGCCCTGCTAGACCTGTTCAGTTTCTACAGGGCATGCAAAGCTGGTTGTTTAGGTTGACCTTTGGAGAGTAACCACATGTTTGGCCTGTTTTAATAGTGGTATGGTGATGGCCATGTATTTTGATATTCTAATATTCTAACATTTTAATGTTAATATTTTATATTGTTATTTTTTAATATATTGTTTTTACCGTATTGGTTTTAATGTTGGAAGTTGCCATGAGACCCTTCAGGTGAGCGGCACCTAAAATAATCGAAATAAATAAATAAATAGGCTACTCAAGGCGCTCAAGTCAAAAGATGGCATCTTCCGGTGAGGTTTCACAGCCTCGTCTTTCCAGGTTGTTCAGTTTGTTCAGGTCCAGGAAGGGCTCCCCCCCACCAGAGGGCCTTCACAACTCCATCAGTCAAGATAGGTGGAGATCTTCCCTCTGTTAAGGATAAATTAACTACTCCTGAAACCCCATCAGTCAATCCCGACCAGCGAGGTATCATAAACCAAGTTGAAAATAGTTGAGCAATGATGAAGCAGGCCACACTACTTTAAGCAAGTTAGTGATCTGATCTTACATAAGAACATCAAAAGAGCCCTGCTGGATTGGACCAGTGGTCTACCTAGTCCAGCATCCCGTCTCACACAGTGGCCAAACAGTTACTCTGCATGGCCAACAAGAGGGCAGAGAGGCCGAGGCCTTCATAAGAACATCAGAAGAGCCCTGCTGGATTGGACCAGTGGTCTACCTAGTCCAGCATCCCGTCTCACACAGTGGCCGAACAGTTACACTGGATGGTCAACCAGAGGGCAGAGAGGCCGTGGCCTTCATAAGAACATCAGAAGAGCCCTGCTGGATCGGAACAGTGGTCTACCTAGTCCAGCATCCCGTCTCACACAGGAGCCAACCAGTTACTCTGGAGGGCCAACAAGAGGGCAGAGAGGCCAAGGCCGTCCCCTGATATCCCTCCTGGCTTTGAGATTCAGAGGATTAGTGCCTCTGAATGTGGAGGTACCCCTCAGTCACCATGGCTAGAAGCCATTGATAGACTTATCCTTCATGAATCTATCTTCGAGCCACAGGAAATGAGATTTATCTACGCAACTGTGGACACTGAGCTCTGCTAAAAATTTGACACTGACCAGTCAAATTAGTGATATCTAAGTAGGGTTCCCATTTCCCAGGCAGGGTGGGGGATCCCCCGCTTTTTAGGGCTTCTTCCCACTGCTGGCCAGCGGGGAAAGCCCACCCCCAAACAGTGATGTTGCACAGTGACGTGCCCAACACAATGATGTCATATAGAAGTGATGTCATGATGTTGGGGCATAGCACAGCAACACTCTGGTTTTGGGGCAAAACTCTATGGTCTGACCCTGATTTTACCATAAAGCTTTGCCTTCAAACCAGTGTGTCACCATGTGATGTCCCCAATGCGATGATGTCACTTCTGCATGACGTCATCATGTTGGGGATGTTGCTGAGTGACATTGCTGTTTGGGGGCGGAGCCCTGTCCCACTCCTTGGAAGGCTCCCTCCCAGGCCCCCCCGTTGGCACATCACGGAGACCTGGCTACCCTATATCTATGGGACTAACTAGTTTATACCTCCCGCCTACCTGACTTGTGACAGATGTTAAACTGAGGAACCAATATTCTCAGATTTAGTGGGGCCTGATTCAGCTCAGGAGTGGGGCATGGGGGATGGCATCCATCTAAGCCTCCATCTCCAGATGGGCAAGGGTTGTGTTCAATAGTCAGCCCGTGACGCAAGAAGCACCTTAACTCTAATTCTATGGAACTGGGCCCGCAGTTTCAACAAAACCAAGCCTATGACCTGTTTTAATGCATGCCATCTGTTCCGGGACCGTCCGATGGTTGTCATAGAGGCCATGAAGTTCTGAGCCATACCAGAACGAGGGGCCTCAGCATGGATGTTGAGAAGCCCCAAACTGAAAGCCTAGGAGATCTCAACAGAACCAGTTTGGTGCCATGGTTAAGAGCACAGACTCTAATCTGGGAGAACCGGGTTTGATTCCCCACTCCTCCACATGCAGCTGATGGTGTGATCTTGGGTCAGTTACAAGTTCTGTCAGAGCTGTTCTCTCAAGGACAGTTCTCGGGAGAGCTCTCTCAGCCCCACCTACCTCACAGGTTGTCTGTTGTGGGGAAGGGAATGGAAATAGATTGTAAGCCGCTCTGAGACTCCTTCAGGTAGTGAAGGGCGGGGTATAAATCCAATCTCTTCTTCTTCAAATCTGAGACCACTTATTTTTTTTCCAATAACATTTTATTAGTAGAATACAAGAATATTGATGAAACATAACAATCAAATGCTTACGACATTAGCAAAGTACATAATGATCTAAAGAAAAGTTAAACATTTTAACCCGTACAATATGAATTAAAAAAAAATGTAAGCATTGAAAAATGATGTATAATTCAATAAACTTTTGAACAAAATAACTTGCTTTTACAATGTATTTTAATTAAAGCCTGTTCTGTTTGATGTTATTAACTCAGTAAAGTGCCTTCTGCCATCTAAACTATCAATAGGCATTCAATAGCAGATCTAACAATGCGAAAAACAAAGTGCAACTTATAGACCATAAACAATTTACCGTGAGGATATAAATAGTTTGCTATATCTATGTTGTTTCAGTTAACAATATTCATTTGAACCATATATAAGTCATTATATCCATTTAATATAGTTATTCCAGGATGCTGAGATGAATTTTTCTTCGGATAGGGCTTCTAGAATTGGAAACCATTTAGCTTCGAACCCAAAATGTGCAATGTTCCCTATAGGTCAGGTAGGACCTGCAGGGGTGGTGGCAGAAAGTGTTGTCTAGTTGCAGCCGACTTATGGCGGCACCTTGGGGCAGGCCCATAGCCAGGATTTTTTTATGTTGGGGGGCATTTAAATTTCTTAGGGGGCACTGGATAATGAAATTAATCTGGGGGGAGAAGGCCGTGATGTCCTGGGCTGGATGGGAAGTCAGGGGGGGCCTTGCCAATAAGTCAGGGGGCCTAGCCCCGAGATGCCCCACTGTAGCTACGGGCCTGCCTTGGGGTTTTCAAGGCAAGAGACATCCAGAGGTGGTTTGCCATGGACTGCCTCTATGTAGCAACTTCTTTGTGGTCTCTCATCCAAATAGCAATCAGGGCCGACCCCGTCTAGTGTCTGATATCTGACGAGATCGAGCTATCGTGGGCCGTTCAGGTCATGACTGGATGCAGTCCAATGCAGGGGTACATGAACCGAATTTCTAATATCGCCCCTGTCTCCAACATCGGGTACAAACACTCAGAGTTGGAGCTGTGCTTGACCGAGCATCTAGAGAATAGGTTAGAACATTAGACCACTGAGAGTCGCCTTTCTCTAATTCAGTGCTCTCCCCCCCCCTTATCTTCACAGATTATTTGGTATAACTCACACATCATCGGATGTGCAGTTGGTCATTGCCCAGAAAGTACTTTCCCTTTTGCGTACATATGCCACTACTGCCCAGGGTAAGTCTAAAGTCTTTTTAAGATGTCCCTAATTCACCCTGTTCTGGAGTTCTGCACACCGTCTGAGGCTGTGGTCAGACTGGCGGATTGGTGTGGTTTGGGCACACCACTAATGAATCCATCGCAATTTGTGATGGAGATTTTCTCTCAGACTCCCACCTGGATCCAGCCTCGCCATGCGCTTCATTCATGGTTGACCTTTCAGATTAGTGCTGCAGGTCAACCACGGAGCTCGTGGCCTGGTCTTATTTCTATTTAAAAAAATTAACAACTTTGACAATTTTTTTGAGAACATTTCTTGCACGTGCCACGTGCGCACATGCGCACATGCTCTACCATTTTAAAAACAAGGTATGGCAAAACCAGGACTAAAGGTTCACACTTCCGAACCAGTTTGAGCATGCACCGGGGCACTGGTCAATTTCACACTATTTGCTGCGCGGCCACATTTTGACCCGCAGCTCCCCCCGATTTCCCCCCATCTCTTCTTGATCCCTGTTTTTTTGAGATCGAGAAGATGGGGGGGGGTATTGGGGGAGATGTGGGTCAAAATGCGGCCGCACAGCTAATAGTGTGAAATTGACCAATGCAAGTGGGGGAAACAGAAGAGTGAGGGCGGCACAGCTTCTTGTGGAGAATCGGTCACACTTTATATCTGAAGACAAAAATGACATTAATTTATTTGAAATGCCTTGCTAGCAGCCACAGTGTATGCTATTCACAGGACTTCCAGCATTTAGATTTGTGGCTGACTTCCAGTGATGCCATTCAGGTCTTTTGGTTTTCTCTCATTCAGGCTTTTTTATTTATTTATATTTATTTATACATTTATTTGCTTTATTTATATGCTGTCAGTTTGGTATCGTGGTTAGGGGTGGCAGACTGTAATCAGGAGACCAGCTGGGTGACCTTGGGTCAGTCACAGTTCTCTCAGAGCTGTCCTGTTAAGAGCAGTTCTCTCAGGAAGGAATTTTCTCCAGGACAATTAAGCCAGGGCTCCTGGAGGGTAGGTTTTTTTTTGCCCTCTTCTGGGCATAAAGCAGGGGTCACTGGGGTGTGTGGGGGGAGGTAGTTGTGAATTTTCTGCATTGTGCAGGGGGTTGGACTCAATGACCTTGGAGGTCCCTTCCAACTCTAAGATTCTATCAAAATCAAACTCCATGGTATCTTTAGAACCTTTATGAACCATACTTGGATGCTAACATAACAAAGTCTGAGTCTTGTGACACCTTTAAGACCAAAATTTTTTTATTCAAAGTATAAGCTTTCGTGGGCAAGCATACTTCATCTGAGGAAGCGTGCTTTGCACACGAAAGCTTATACTTTGAATAAAGCTTTGTTGGCCTTACAGGTGCCCCTGGATTCAAACCTTGCTCTGCTGAATCAGACCAACATGGCTACCACACCTGAATCTTTCTTCTTGGATGCTAACATACACAGCGTTGCTCTGTAATTTCAGAGGGAACCTCATGTCCAAAATGGCAAAACCCTACAAAGAAGGCCCGTCTTGTGGAGACTGCCCTAAGGCCTGCGAGGATAAACTCTGCAGTAAGTTACTGTCGATAACAATCAACTTCTCTTGATACAATCAACTTCTCTTGATAATTTATGTACGATTCATTCAGAAGGACCGATTTCACACAAGAGCTGCACTGCGGTTGCACCTCCTTTTGCCCCACTTCTATTGCTCAATTTCCCACTCGAAGCTGTGCGGCCGCATTTTGACCCACAGCTTGCCCCGATTTTCCCTGCGGTTTCGTGATCTTGTTTTTTGAGGATCACGAAACTGCAGGGAAAATTGGTCGAAGCTGCGCGTCAAAATGCGGCCGCGCGGCTTCGAGTGGGAAATTGACCAATAGAAGCGGGGCAAAGGGAGGCGCGACCACGGTGCAGCTCTTGTGTGAAATTGGTCGTGGTGTCTTCAGAATCTGTGGAAAATCTCACCCCTCCCCACTGCTTATTATAGACTAATCGCTCCCCAAAGTTAGTGTTACGATGCAAGCTTTGCTTTGCAATTCTTTGGCGAGAGAAGCCCACAATTTAGGAAGCTCGGCTGCTTGGCAATTTGCATAATGAACCACCCCTCAGTTCATGACTGAGGCCTCTTGAGAGGATCCTAATAAGACCGAAATAAGCACGGAAGGAGTGGGCTTTCCGTCCAGAGGGCTCAATTGATAATTTTTAAAAAAGGATCACTTCAATCGAGCTGAGAAGTTGGGTTTCTAACATTGGGTTGGGGAAATTCTTGGAGATTTTTATTTGGGGGGGGGACTTAGGGAGGGCAGGCTCTGGGGAATGGAGGGACCTCAGTGGGGTATAACACTAGGGCGGCCAGCAATGCTCCCTCTAAGATGTGGGGTCTTGTAAGCAAAAATTCTACTTTGCGAGCTACTGGCGTGAAAGTTGTGAGCGAGCGATTTGGCCGCTGCATACATTAGTTTGCTCTGGAGGCCCTCCTTCCTGAGCTCAGGCAAAAATGTGTGAGCCGGAGGCTAAAAAACTGTGAGCCAGCTCACGCGAACTCAGCTTAGAGGGAACACAGGTTGCCAGGTCTGGTAACCATAGAGTTTTTCCTCAAATGGTAGAGCGTCCCCCCACAACGTGCCCGACATGATGACATCACCTCCAGGTGACGTCACCGTGCCGGGCACATTGGTGCGGATGGGGCTTTTTGGGGATGGGGTTCCCCACCGGGCAGCTCAGTGCTGGTGGATTGGGGCCCCCCCAAAGTGGGTAAACCCCCACCCCCATAGGGGGGAATGGCAATCTTATATAACAACACCATAGAATCCACCTTCCAAAGCAGCCATTTTTCCTTTATGGGAATTGATCTCTATAGTCTTGAGGTTAGTTGTCATCCTGGGAGACCTCCAGAACCCAATCTGCAGGTCGTCAGCAACCCCGCCTAGAAACAAACAGGAAGTCAGTGTAGTTGAGCCATCACATTTCAGTAATATCTGACCTCTCCCTTGATCCTGCTTGTATCAGCACGACGGTTTTCTGTTCTGGATACAACTTCTCAGCATTTTCAAGGATAGCCTCAAACAATGCTCCCTCTAAGCTGCGGAGTCTCATGAGCAAAATTTCTGCTTTGTGAGCTACTGGCATTAAAGTCGTCAGCGAGCGATTTGGCTACTGCATAAATTAGTTTGCTCCGGAGCCATCCTTTGCTCTGGAGCCAGTTTGGTGTAGTGGTTAAGTGTGCGGACTCTAATCTTTGAGAACTGGGTTTAATTCCCCACTCCTCCACTTGCACATGGCTGGATGACCTTGGGCGAGCCATAGTTCTGATAAGAGCTGTTCTTGAAAAAGAGCAGTTTCTCTCTCTCAGCCCCACCTACCTCACAGGGTGTCTGTTGTGGGGAGGGGAAGGGAAAGGAGTTTGTAAGCCGCTCTGAGACACCTTTGGGTAGTGAAGGGCGGGGTATAAATCCAATCTCCTCCTCCTCCTCCTCCTCCTCCTCCTCCTCC